GCATGGATTTGTGGGCCGAGGTATGCAAGTACGTCGTTTCCACACCCGGGGTGTCCCCCTTGCCACATCAGAACCCTTGTGAACTGTTCCGGAACCAATTGTCCGTCCGTCTGCGGAGCAAGCCTGTCGTCCTTACTGGGAAAGAAAACCAGGAAACAATATCAACAAAATTTCAGGCCATCAATATAGGCCATGCAAGCCACCGATTGCGAAGGCTGGATGCCCCGGGACGTCACCTAACGAGACATCGCCATCCCGCTATTCTTTTATTTGTTTTTGAATTTTGGCGTCATATTGCAAAGCCGGGCAACGCCGGGCTAGCTCATAAGGGCCAGGGCTGGGTTCGACATATCACTATCACTATCATCACTAATTACAAAAAGGTAAATAAACAAACAAATACAGGCGAACGACACGAATTGGTGGCATTGGTATTTCCGCCACGACGCACCCACCCATCCTGTGATGCCTCCTGGTCTTTTAGGGGCATCACACATCTCCGGCGGGCCCGAGCCTATTCCAGGCGGTCTGGCGACCGGCTCATCTCCCCCAGGTAAACAGCTCTACTTCATGTTCATTTCTCTATTTAATCACTATTAAACAACATTTTTGCCCTTACATTTAACATGGCAGGTAAGTAATGTGCAATAGGCTTCACCTTATTCCCAGCGAGAGCGTGGCCTCAGCCAGGGATGCGCTCGAGCCTAGGATGCCTCTTTTTGCGACTCAAAATTCCAGGAGGAGAAACGCCTCAATAACTTGGCCTCAATCGGGCCACCAACACAAGACTTCCTCTTTCGTCCCTAGAATCCTTGCTGGAGCTCCAAGAGAAATTAGAAGGGTTTGGGTGTTTGAGAAGAAGTACAAGCTACGCTTCTCCTCCCCTCCTCGATCACAGCGCTTGTGTTGCACAAATCCTGGATCCAGGATACGGCCAAGCGGTGGACAAGGTAAACAACACTAACACTAACAATAAATAAATAACACTAAGACTAATTTGATTCTGTTCCTCAGCAGTGGCCCCAACGGGATAGGCGGCCTGGAAACCGGCGGCGTATTGCCGAGGCAAAAATATGGCCAACACCTTTGCGTTCGTCTTTTAGCAGAAACGGACTCACCGGATGTAGCCACTGGCGGCTTCGGGCGTCGGCGCTCAGGGCTTCTGCGGCGGCTCTGGGCGACGCGTAGGTGGCTACGGTGGGTCTGGGCTACGGCTCTGGCGACGGTAAAGCGGCGCTGGAAACGTAATTCACAAAACTTTGCCGTGGTCACGTCCAAAATTCCGTACTTCCAATTTTCTCGCCGCGCACGTTTTGCCTTAATCTTTGGGAACTCACGTTTTTTTCTTCCAGCACCTCCCTTTATGGCCTCGGTTCATTCCCTCAGTTCCGTACCTTCAGAACGTTACTTCTTCAGTGCCTCGGCCGAGAGAAAGAGTAAGAACCCTTTCTCATAATCCGCATCCGAATTTCCCGATTCGCTCATTTGCCTCACTCCTTGGACCTACCTATCCTACCTATCCCTATCGATACATCGATAATCCTCTAGCCCATCCTAACTTAAAATGCAACAGAAAAGTCATTTAATGATGCGCTTATACTTTCATGGACTAACGATGCTCTTTAATTTGATAATAGGGACAATGATGAGATTTTGAAAAATATTTACGACAGAATATAATGTATTCACATTCAAATTTGATTTTTCGGATTTAGATGATTATCAAAAATGTTACGTTTATGGAAATAATCACATTCCACTTTTTTATTATTTCACACTACATACGAGGACCTTTTTATTATAACATCCTTGATAATACACAACGCCTCTTACTTTGAACCCAATATTTTCGGCAATATTAATGTTTTTATCAGAGAACTGCAAGGGTGACACTTCTTGCCACCTTACTCACACCCAATGTAATTTGTGTCCCGGTGCCACACATACCCGGCTAAGTAAAGCAAACACACATTCATCAAAAACTTCGTGTGTGCTATAAGTGTTCTCTCTTATGCAAGGTGCAGTTAACATTTTTGTATTTTTACCCATTTATTTTTGAACAACGCGTGAATGTAGGATAATCACCAGTAACACAATAGTCAAAACACACAAGAACCGAGTGTTTTATAATCAACGTGGTGCTTTTGGTTCATCTGTACATTGCACCATAGGGGCGAACGACCAATTTTTCTGGCCAAAACCCTATAATACATATATATATATATAATAATTTTTAATAGAGCGCGCCACTGTTAAGATGACAACTGTTAAGTCAGCTGTTGAATATATTTTATTGCATATTGGAATTTTTTAGTTATAGAATACTTAATATGTATTTTCAAGTCTTTTTATAGAAAATTCGTCTCTTCCTGTATTTTTTTGTGATCAAAAGTGTTTAAGTCGGCCATTTTTTGACAGTTGTATTGTTTTGCAATAATAATTATTATTAAATAAAAAGTAGGCCAACAGTTTTTTATCTTGTCCTTTTTAAAATAAAGTACTTTAAAAAAGATTATTTCATGCAGAAAATAGAACTCACTGTTAATGTTTATTGTTTAATTCAGTTCGTAATTTTCCATTTAAACTTTTAGTTTTTCTTCACAAGAAACACTTTGTTTCACGATTTTCTATCTAGTTCCGCAGTTATCTCAATAATTCCACTGTTTATACACTTGCAGGGTATTATAATTTCAGTCAGAAGTTTGCAACGCAGTGAAGGAGTTACCTCCGACTATATAAAGTATATATATTCTTGATCAGGATCAACAGCCGAGTCGATCTATCCATGTCCGTGTGCCCGTCTGTCCGTTTGTACGCAAACTAGTCTCTTAGTTTTGGAGCTATCTGAATGAATCTTTGTAGTTAGTCTTCTATATACTCTCACTCGTATATAAGTCGGAACGGACCGGGTCGGACGACTATATCATATAGGATGTGGATGTGGAGCAATAATTAAAAAAATATGTATAGGTGAATGTATTATTCATTATTACTTCATTGTTTTTAACATAAATATATATAATTTATATTGTATGGATTTCCAGTCATCGAAGTTATATCTTCAAGGGTATATAAACTTCGGCGTTTCGAAGTTAGCTTCCTTTCATGTTTTAATTTAGTTTTACTGTTTTCCATATGCATTTACTGCTGTATCAAAAAGTATCACGTGATATTTTGAATTTTACAAAATCTAACCTTTCTTCTACGTTTGCCAGATAAAATACATACATATATTACTTCTAACTTCCACAACAGTTAAAACGCAAATAAAAAATACCCAACCCTTTTTATTATAGAGAAAGGAAAAATGCCATGACTTTACATGTCGATTTTTACTGATGACAGGTTTTTGTGGCCTTTTTCATAAACGTTTCATTAACCGAGAGCAAATGAGCTCGCGAGAAAGTCTGAACTTTTACATTGTGTGTTAGATCCTGCTTTTGCATTATTCTGAGGCTGGTATTTATACTTAGTTTTCCGGTAGCAAAAACACCAGGGTGTTTAATCACCATACATTTATTCGGTGCACCGTGAGTGCCTGTGGACTTTTGCAGTTCTCAGGTTTTAATTATTAGGACTTTTTACGAATTCTCCTTTTATATATATTTTAATCACAAAACAATTTTACATAAATTTTATTTTTAAGTATCCCTTATAATCCTATAAGAGCTTGAAAGTAAATGCTCTAAGCCTTCAACAAAGAAGTTGTACGTTAAATGTTTTGTATTGCAACTTCTTCAGAAGTTGTTATGCATTCTTTTTTTGTATTCATCAATTTCCCTAATAGTATCTTTAAGAGCTAAGCACAAACAATCGTTGTCTCCCGACTGATATTTTTAATGCAGTGTATGCTATGCAGAATGTAATTTTTTTACTTAACTTTCAGCCTATTCACCTTTAAATATGGTATGGAGAGAAAAATACCTCTTTAAAGCAGTAAGAGATAGCGAGAAGCATATTAATTACAATATTTTTTCAGTGCCGTTTTAAAATCCTGTACGGGAACACAAATTCGACCGAGTTCTGTGTACAGGTGTTTATTCAATATAAATTTTATATATTTATGTTAAATAACATCAAAGTAATGCCAACCTTCGCTAGAGTTTTACATATACAGCTTTGTATTTTCCTCTTTATTTAACAATTGTTTTTATGACAGCTGTATAATATAGTCGTCGGATTTTCATACAACTAAAACCTAACTTCAAAAAATAATTGAATAAGAGGCTAAAACCTCTTAGTAGATGAAAATTTTTTGGAAAATACGAAACTTTAATTCTTTTAAATTAATTTCTCGATTGTTCCTTTGGCAGTATAATATGGTAAAGCGACATTTATACCCTTGCAGAGTATTAAAATTTTAATCGGAAGTTTGCAACGCAGTGCCTTCACTCACCTCTGACCATATGAAATATATATATTTTTTTGATCAGCATCAACAGCCAAGTCGATCTAGCAATGACCATCTCTCCGCCTGTCCGTCCGTCCGTTTCTACGCAATCTAGTCTCTCAGTTTTATAGCTATTTGAATGAAACTATGCAGTTATATGTACTCGCACTCGTATATATGTATGTCGGAACGGGCCGGATCTTGCCATCTTTGTTTTCAAAAATAATAGAAAAGAACCAGAATTGCAACGAAGAATGATCGCATAACTATAAGCAAAACAAGTCAATTAAACTGGAATGAACAACCGATGGACAACTAAAAGTAAAATTTGGAACGGAAAAACCTTATGCAACGATCAACAAACGGAGAAAGGCAGGTGGATCTCTTTGGGAAGACCCCATCACGTCTTTGGAATGGAAATAATATAATGGAAAAAAAATTATAAAATACAAAATACAAATATAAGTTCTTGTCATGACCAATTTGCTGTCGTACCATTGATTAATGTGTCTCTGTGTGAATGGTATATTATGAATACCTTCTTATATATTAATTTTCCGATACATGAAAAATCATCGTAGGGTGCAACCGCACTGACAACCGGAAATATATTTTTTATCTCTTTCTTTTTATTTTGTGGAACCAGCGGTACACAATTTACTTCGCCTTGTGCAATTGGTTTAGTTCGTCTAAATGTAAGTATTAAATTTGTTAAATAATTATGTCTTAACAAGAATTTATTTTATCATTTAGATGCCACGTGAAATTAAAGAGGTCAAGGACTTTTTGAATAAAGCACGGCGTTCCGATGCGCGTGCAGTTAAAATCAAGAAGAATCCGGCCAACACCAAATTCAAGATTCGTTGTTCTAGATTTCTTTACACCCTTGTCGTTCAGGATAAGGAAAAGGCTGATAAAATAAAACAGTCTTTGCCACCAGGATTGCAAGTGAAGGAAGTGAAGTAAATTACCTTCAATTATTGCATACCGTGTCACCGTACATATTATAATTCACGGTTTTAAGAGGGTGTCTAATATTTGTATTTAATTTAAAATTGAATAAATAAATTTCGCCTGACAAAACTGGGAAATACTTAAACCAGTAGTTAATATTTTTCATTGATACGTGGACATCCAATTTTTGTCTATGGACATACCTACATACATACATATGTACATATGTACATATGTAGATGTTTATATGTTTGTACATACACCTTTTGATGTGTTTGTTAATAACGCTGAAGAGAATTGAGTAGACATTAAAATGCGTAGATAGAGAAGTATGAATATGGGAAATGTCGAATGCGACGCTGGTTTTCATTCAAACCTGGCAATAGCATTTATTTTGATAACAAATTAAACTCTGGCCTTTTTTTCTACTAATACAAATCAATCAACAATTCGTTCTAAACAGAGTCCGAAAAATGTAAGACTGCAACACGGACAAGTTATTTTAATACCCTTCTACTGAATTACAATACCCTGTAAAGTATATACATACATATGTATACGTATATTCTTCATGATCATGCTCGAGCATCAACAACAGAGTCGAAATAGCTACATACATATGTATGTATGTATGTATGTATGTATGTCCGTTTCTACCCAAACAAGCCTCGGTTTTGAAGTAATTCGAATGGAACTGCATTTTCTCTTCTATCATTAAGCAAGAAACACATAGAGGTGTCAAACAGTACCAAAAAGAACTATCACAAAAACTGCTGAGCCTGGAACCCCAGAGCACCTGAACGATATGTCTAGAACCCCAGAGTGCCTTCGGCTTTTTCGAGTTCGAAGCAGTCGTTCGAAACCGAGCACAACAAGAATTCACTTTTCAGTGGCAGATCGACCGTGGAAGGATGAGCAGGGGTGCGTTTCTTTGCGCTGTGCTCTCGTTTCTGTGTATATGTGTACAAGCGCTCACACGTTTGTATGCGTATTCAAATTTCAGCATGCAGAGTCTTTTTCAAATATTTTGGACGACCACAGCCAGTGGGCCGAAGCGGCGGCTCACTTGCTTATGACGTCACAGCAATACTTAGCCTCTAGCGCTTGCATTGGGGGACAAATTATTTAAGTTATTTCACTATAATTACTACTTATTTTAATTTAAGTTTCTTTTATGACTATATTTCCCAAAAGGCATTTTAGTGCTTCTATATAGTCTTACTCTTATATATGTAAGTCAGAAGATCGGACTATTATATAATAGATGCAAATGTACTCCACATAAAATATTAACGTCGCAGGTATTATAGTTTTTAAGTTATCCTTGGTAAACTATAACGTCTTTGCAAATTGCAAAGAATTAATTGACAGCATACGAATTGCAATGTTTTTGTTTTTGTTATTTTTTACTATGTTTTAAGTTAAAATATTTAAGTTTTGTTTTTTATATTTATAGATTAAAGTTATCCTAATAATATTATAAAAGAAAAATTTTAAAAATTCTTGTATTTGTCAATAAATTTTCAGTATAAACCCAAAATTGTGAGGGATTTTTCGTTTTGCAAAGAATTACTTGACAAACTGTATATAGCTGCCATAGGTACTATCGTTAAGTAAAAGAAAATTCTTAATTGTAACTGTAAATAGAAGTAGTATAGGTGAATGTAGAAGTATAATGTAAAAGTAGAAATTCGTTCCTTATCACATAAATAAATATAATTTATATTGTATTAATTATTAATCGAATTGCAATCTGCTGGGGTACATAAAATAAGGCTTAGAATTCGAAATCGGATGTTACTATGTGCATATGTACATACATATGTATGTACATATGTATGTCGAAATTATGCTGCATAGCATAGTTAGTTGAAAAAAGTTCTATGAAAGTTAGTCCCTTTGAGTTTATTCCTTAACCAACGCCTGATATTTGAGTAATGTAATGATAATCGACATCATTAAATGAATCTGAGTTTTCTTTTATTAATTAAATATCTATACCTGTATTAACTAATGTATATTACTTTTTAGTCCGTTCATTCCGGAGTGAAACAAAAAGATTGAAATTAAAGTAAATAATGTGAACTTTGTTTACATTTCGTTTTATCTTTAGGTAATTTATTGGTTTTCCGGCTTTGATTGATTTCTCAGACATTGTTTTGTCTGTTCGAGTTATTGTTATCATTATTAGTATTGTTATGGGGATGCTTTTTATTAATTCCGCTTTTTCCTCTATAATTCAATGACCTCTATTTGGCTTGGTTGTTATAGTTTCGGTTGTAACCGTTATTTTGGTAATAACAGTTTTTTTTCTATCCTCCCTTGCAGACTATTATAATTTCAGTCAGAAGTTTGCAACGCAGTGAAGGAGAAATTACCGGCCATATAAAGAATATATGTATGTATTCATGTATGTATATTATTGATCAGCATCAACAGCCGAGTCGAACTAGCCATGTCCGTCTGTCCGTTTCTAAGCAAACTTGTCTCTCAGTTTTTAGCTATCTAAATTAAACTTTTTCAGTTCGTTTTCTATATGTACAATGTATGTACATACATATGTATGTATATAGCTGCCGTTGGAACGATCGGAAAATTTTTGATAAAAAATAATTATAACTTTTCAGTTTTCAACATATTTTCATTAAATTTCATATATACATACGTACATACATAGCTATTTTAAATAATTATAAAATTTCGGACTTCATTTTAATGAAATCGGACTACGATATCCTAAAGCTGTCAAAGGAACAATCGAGAGATTTGGTTTCCTATTCCACAGACCGCCACTTAGACCATAACCATGACCAGAAGTCAAACAGTACAAAAAAGTACTATCACAAAAACGGGTGAGCCTTGAACCCCAGAGCACCCGAACGAAATGTCTAGAACTCCAGAGTGCGTTCGGCTGTTTCGAGTTCGATGCATTCGTTCGAAACCGAGCACAACAAGAATTAACTTTTAAGTGACCGATCGACCGTGGAACGAGCAAGGGTGCGTTCCTTTGCGCTGTGCTCTCCCCTGCAGTACTGCGTGTCATCAATACGCCACTGTCATCAACGCGCCGACTGCGACTTATACCGAGGCGACGCTCTGCCGACTGCGACTTCTACCGAGTCGACCCTATGCCGACTGCGACTTCTACAACGACCCTCTGTCCACGGCCCGGCCGTTGAGAAATTTGTTGATGAAACATCTATGAATTGTTGACGAAATATAGATTAAACATTAATGAATTGTTGATGAATCATCAATGAATTGATGATGAATTGTTGATGAATTTGTTCATGAATTATTGATGAATTTTATTGATGACAGCCTAGGACATGCCCATGTTAAATAAATCAACAGTTCATATGAACTGTCATCGATGAAAAATCAACAGCAGCTCCTTGACTGTTGTTGAAACGTTGATGAATTACTGATGACAGGTACTGCAGGGTCATTTCTGTGTATATGTGTACAAGCGCCCGCACGTTTGTATGCGTGTGCAAATTTCTGCATGCACCCTGCAGTACCTGTCATTATCTCATCGTTCCACGGTCGATCTGTCACTGAAAAGTTTATTATTGTTGTGCTCGGTTTCGAAACAGCCGAACGCACTCTGGGGTTCTAGACATTTCGTTCGGGTGCTCTGGGGTTCCAGGCTCACCCGTTTTTGTGATAGTACTTTTTTGTACTGTTTGACTTCTCTATGTATTTCTTGCTTTGTGATTAAACGTAGCGTGCATGTGCTTGTTTTTTTTAAATGTCTCTGTTTTGAGGAGGGCATTAATTTATGCCACCTATTAAGCGAGTTGATTTAGCGAGGGGTTTGTTTTGTGTTGCCGTAAAATTAGTTATGTTTTAATTTGTGCGTGCTTGTGTGTGGTTTTGGTTACAAAGTAAGTGAGCGAATGTAAGCGAGAGAATAGATAATCAAACAGAAGAGCTGCGGCGGAAGAGCTTTCAGCCGGCTTATGAGTTGGAAAGCTTCTGCGGCAGCTAATCGCTTGTTTACATATAATGATTTAAACATGTTAATATTAAATCTGCTGCTTCTGCTCCCGACATGCTCCCCCCCTGGATGCGGCACGCTGCCAGATGAGGTGGTTTCCAGGGGTAGAACAGCTATTTTGCCAACAGCCCTTTTTATTAGGTGGCTGTCCGAATGACAGCGACACGGGCCACACCGTCAGCTCCATGGATGATGCTCTCCACTCTGCCAAGGCGCCATTGAAGCGGAGGATGTTGTCCTCCTTGAGCACCACAATGCTATGCGGTAGGATGTTGGGCCTTGATGCACGCCATTTCCCACGCTCTTGTAAAAGGTAGCTGGTACTCCACTTCCGCCAGATGATTTGCTGAATTTGGCAAACTCGTTGCCAGCGGCTCAGCCGATCGATGCTGAGGTGCGTGTTGGGCTCCTCGATTGTGGCGAAAGAAGACCCAATCAAAAAGTGACCAGGTGTAAGACATCCAAATCGTTAGGGTTTTCTGAAATTGGACAGAGCGGTCGAGAGTTAAGCATCGCTGAAATTTCATAGACTAAAGTGCGAAGCTCATTGAATGCGAGAATAGTGTTGCCAACGACCCGATGAAAGTGAGATTTTGCAGATTTGACGGCAGCCGAAATGAGGCGAACGAGGGGAATAAATTGCCATTTGATCCCGATGGAAACGAAGGCCTGGTGAAGATCGCTGTTTTGAGGGTCGGCGAGAAAAGTTGCCTCAGTCCAGCAGCTCGTTTTTGGCTCCAACGAAGTTTGTAGCGTTATCGGACCATATTGTGCCAGGCTTGCCCCTTAGGCTTATGAAGCGCTTGAGGGCAGCGATAAATGAAGCCGCAGACAAATCTCCACCAGCTCCAAATGGCAGGCTTTAGTGGCGAAGCAAACAAATATTGCGATATAGCATTTGACGGGTGGCCGGTTTCTGACTTCAGACTTGGAGTAGAAAGGAGCACAGAAATCGATTCCCACTGTGACAAATGGTCGACTTGGCTGCACGCGGTTGGATGGCAAGGGCGCCATGAGTGCTCAGTAATTTGGGCTTTAATCGAAAGCAGCGAATGCATTTGTTGATAGTGGCGGCGACTATTTTTCGACCACCAATTGGCCAAAACCTTTGCCGTAAAGCCGCCAATAAGCTCTGCGGCCTGAGT